AACACCAACGGCAAGAGGAGGAACAGCAGCAGCAGCACCAGCAGCAGCAGCAGCAGCAATGCCGTCAGTGTTGTCAAGTGTGTACCACCCTTTGTCCTCTCTTTTCCGGACCCTCTCTATCAAGGTGGATCCCACAATGTGTAGTGCGATCTACAAACATGCAGTAAGTTTCATTGCATGTACGATTTCAGGCACCACGCTCCTAGCAACCGTCGGAAGGATCCTCACCATAGGCTTGTGCAGTTGCCCCTGAGCCGTAGGAATATGTGCAGCGTGTGTAGTCTCGTCATTCGAATATGAATATGTGCGTTCGAAGAGGACGGCGATGAAGACGCATAGCTGTTTTTTCCAGGCGAGCAAGGATGGCGTAACCTGCCAATGCTGATTACAAAGGTCCGCCGCCTAACCTCATTCCGTTCGTTTGGAAACATATTGTCGTTCATTCGGCCAGGCAGTCCGCTGATATATCCCTATTGTTGGGCTTAGCGTATAAACCCGTTGGTGTCGACCTCGACGGCTACAAGAAAACGCGTCCACGACCCTGTAACGGATGCGAGCCTAGAATGGGGCCTTCCATTCTTCTTGGCAATCGATGTCACGACCTTGACATGTTCCTCTGGTCGACCTTCGACATGCTCTTCCAAAAGCTGCTAACCCACAGCTTTTAGACCACATCGCTCGCTGTCTGGAATTGCCTGTACATGATACCCCACGGCAGAGTGGACTATCGATTGCGACGTGTGCTGGCGCACGTAGGCTTCAAAGAGATGAAACCCGACAGGAGTTGCAGCACTGGGCCTCGATATGATGCGTTCTGGCACGCTGGAGCATGGCAGGGAAACCGCCATCCTTCATAATGGATGCCATATTCCTACCCCTCAGCACTGCATGGCCTCATTCGCCAAGTCAAAGAGAATGAATCCATGGGACGACGCCTTTATGCGTCTGTTGTGAATTTCACGATGCTGTTGGATTCCAGAAATTGTTTCAGCAGACTGGTGGTTGATAAGTACATGTATTTCCGACGATCTGATTTATGGTTGGCGTTGTTCTTGGGAGAGCGATCGACGCTCTTGGACTTCAAAAGCAGCGATGTCATGTTAATGCTGGATCCTACGCTCTCGAAATATGGGGTGCATGCGAACACCTACCATATGAGGACAAATTTCGAGCGCGCCGAACATTGGAATATGTCTTGCAGGCTGGGAATCTCTTACCGACCAGATTCATTCGTTTTCAATTGGCCTGCCCCCCATGGCGCAGTATTTGCACGATGCCGAGACCTTCTGCGACGTTAGATTGATGAGGTTACTTGGACCCCCGTTTGGTCCATACTTATATATGTTTCTCATACATAAGCTGCAAGCTCATAGATCAAAGCCCCCGATGGTTCCAGACGACATATATCAACCGCATGATGCGACGCGGTTTTTTCCAGTTGGCATTGTCCGACGTCCACGCAATGACGACGCCGAACCGTTTCCACAAGGTGCGGCATGGACATACCAGCGCACGTTGGCAAAGCAGCTCGAAGACGGACTGCGGGCTCACTTTGCGAAGCACCAGGCCCGAGGGAAATTCCTCGGCCTGGAGCGACTCGTCAGAAGCAAGACGCCGGAGCGCGCGGATATCCAGCTACTTGCTGAAGCTTGTTTTCCCATGGGATCTCCAACGCCCGCCTGCTCGCCGAGGCTGTAGATTCGAGACAGTTGCACTTCTCGGCCTGCAGATGTTTGTTGGGCGCCCGTCGACAAAGACCCGCGCCGCCGAGCCACGATACCGTGGCCCTGCTGCGTTTGGAAGCTTGGCCATTGTTCCGTGGATGGCCCATATCACTGCGCGCGCCTCGAGAAGTGGAGCGCGAAAATGGTGTGCGGTAAATGGCGAGACCTGTCGCGTAAATATATGCCTGAAAGCTGGCGCGGCCCCCGACAATATGAAGTTGCGAATGCTGCTCGAGCGTGGCCCACGGTTAAGGCGAAATGTATCGACAAGATCACTGCATAACTATGCTGCGCAAAATTTCATGTTCAGAACCGCGAAATGCGTGCTGCGCCGCATGCCTACCAGCGCATAAACATGCGTCAAGCTGACAGAGGCTTACGAGCGGCTGAGAACAATTGTGATGATGAGCTGCGGGCGTCATGGGACATGGTTAGCCCGCCAGATTTTATTCACGTTCAGCAGCGAGCCCTGGAAGAGGTTCCCGAACATGACATCGACGCCCCTGCGGAGCTTCCAATACTTCAATTTCGTAGACAAAAACGGATGCCAGCCAGCTTTGCAAAGATGCAAGCGTTGGACGTGATATGTTTTCAATGCGATGCTTTGCTTGACAATATTCGTCAGAAAACCGGCCAAACTGCGTTTGAAGCTCAACGCTCGCCCAGAAGCCATGGCCACCCACGCTGTGCGGGCCGACGAGTACCCCCACAACGTGATGCATTTTCGCTTCAAGATTGTAGACGAGCCACGCGATGGGCCGCCCGGGATGCCAACTTGTCCCTGGGAAAAGAGATCTTCTCACGCGCTAAAGGATGGCCGATGGGTGGGACCATGTCCGAGCCAGCTACCTTGCGACCTGGGTAAATATATCCACCACTTCTACTCCTCCACCTCCAGAGCCAGCAAGATTGGCCTCACTTATCGGGACCTCCACCCCCGCTAACTCCTTCACGGCTTGCTCTATGTCGATGGCGCCCCCCTGCTCGCGTGTATTCTGTTCATCTTATTGCTTTGCAGTCATCCAGAAACTGTGGCCGCAGGGCGCTGGAGTCCTGGAAGATGGCAGGTCACTCCCGATGGTGTTCTTGCAGTTCGTATCTTGGAAGTTGCTGGACGTATTGAGGCGCGCCCGTTCTCGCATAATGAAATGTTCGCTTGGGGCCTGAAACCCATTCATCAAGTCGCCAAGTTCCCCGCCTGGACCTCGGCCCCAGAAGCTATCCCACCGCGTCCTACGCACCCTAGTCCTGGAGCGCATACTGGCACGCATTGCGATGTCTAAAGGAATCGCACATCATGCACGCATGGCCTACCTATTCCTGGTTCGCAAGACCCCATGCGCGCGACTGGCCTGCTCACTCACCTAGTCGAGCCCTCCAGAATATACCGCGACGACGCGCATCTAGATTGATTTGCTATTTTTGTTGTGGCTCTTTGGAAAATGGTTGGGCGTCACTGACGCGGTATTCCGAGGGCTCCCAGAGGCCTCTTTCTCTGGTGAGTATTGATTTCAGCGGTTGGCTTCGCAGTGTGATTGGCTCCCTGAAGAAACGGGCGCGCCCGAGTTCATGGCCCCCCCGCTGCTTCCGCGGCCGTTCCCCAGGGCTGTCAAGTGCCGGAAGTTGCCCGCGCCGAGCGGGAAAACGCTTCTTCTTTTTTTTCGAGCCGACTTTGCATCCAACGCCGAGACCTCGACGCCGCGTCGAAGCGGGGGTCGCCCGTGGAAAGGCGGCCCATGGGGGCTCAGGCACGCAGCGCTACAATGGAGGAGGCAGGGGCTACGACAGAGGGAACGACGGTCGCCCTCGCCGCTAATGAAGCTGCGCCTCGCCGCGAGCGTCCGATGCAATCAGCAGGTAAGAACAATACTTGCATGAAGAAGGTGAAGAAGGCCGCCATGAAAGCAGTCGCATCCATATTTTGCGCTAGCAGCGGCGCACCCAAGTCGAGGCGTCTCAAGTTCCTGGAGTTCGCCAACCGTTAGCTCAGAGCCCACGGTAACGACGCATCAGAGGCAAGCAGTTCCTCGAGCAGAGGATCCAGCAGCTCCAGCAGCGCGCAAAGCCAGCTCAACTTCAAGAAGATCGTGGAAGCAGCCGCCAATATGAAGAAAGCGTGGAGGGAAACATAGAAACGCAGCAGCTCGTCCAAACCCGACATTGATGCAATGAGAAAACAGCTCGCCGAGATGCAGCAAACCATGCTCGACATCGCGGCGGCCAAGATCTCTCGCTCGACACTCCGCCGGCCGCGCCCAAAAACACGAATGAGCTCAAGATGCCTGATAGAAGCTCTCCGCGGGATGTGAAGGCAAATGAGCTGAATGCCATGAAGGAGATCCTCAAAGCTGTGGCCCCACAGAAAGACGCCAGCTCGTTCCCAACCAACGCGAAAGAGTTCTGCGTTGCAGTCGGCAGCCTCGCGAAGGTCAAGCAGAGAGCATGAAACTAACTGTTGGAACCAAATGTTCGTCGCAGACTACAGGTGTCAGTAAGCAGGGAAGCAGAACACGTACCCTCAAACACCTGACGGCTGATGATGAGTGATGGTGGTTCTACGTGTGCTATCCAAGTTCCAGGCTGCCGCCTCCGTGTTGGCCCTCGTGAGCTGGGCACCCAGTGCCGTCGCCTCCGGCATAGCGCAGGTGTTGCTCGAAGCCGTGACTCCGATGCGGGGGGGGCTGAGTGACTACGTTTCGTTCTTTTCTGGCCCTGATAATATTATGCTTTGCTGCTGCCCTTTCTCTTTGGGAGGGTGCAGCAGCAAGAGCAGCACCGGCAGCGGCATGTGCGTCAGTGTTTTCAGAGATTTACCACCCCAGGTCTTCTCCTTTCTTGTCCCGCTCTATCCACCTGAATCCCGCAATGTGTAGTGCGATCTACAACCTTGCAGTACGTTTCATAGCATGTACGATTTCAGGCCTCACGCTCCCAGCGGTCCTCGGAAGGATCCTCACCATGGGCTTGTGCAGTTGCCCCTGGGCCACAGGAATGCGCGCAGTGTGTAGTCTCGTCATTCTTATAGGTGCGTTCGAATAGGACGACAATGATGATACATAGCTGTTTTTGCCCAGGCGAGCAGTGATGGCGTAACGTGCCATTGCTGATTCCAAAGATTCTCCACCTAACCTCACTCCGCTCGTTCGGGAAGCGGTTTTACTCACTCGACCAAGCAGCAGCAGCAGCAGCAGCAGCAGCAGCAGCAGCAGCAGCAGCAGCAGCAGCAGGAGCAGGAGCACGAGGAGCAACCGTAGCAGGAGGAGGGGCCAGCGACAGGCCGAGAGGGAGAGGCTGCAGCGCGAGCTGGACGAGGCCGCCGCGAGCGCCGAGAGGTGGAGGGCGGAGGCGGGGCGCGGCGGCCACGCGGCCATCGGCGATCGGGGGGCAGGGGCGGCGCGCGGCGCGGCCCCGCAGCGGTGTCCCACGGCGGGGGGGGGGGCACGAGATACGCGCTGGGGAGGCCCCAGGTGTTCGGCCGATCTCGTTGGCTCCTGGGCGCTCTCTCGCCCCGGCAGAGCTCGCCGGCAGCGGCGGGCGCCTCGCCTCCAGCGCCCCGGGGGCCCCGCGGATCACCCCGAAGGGCCGCCAGAGGGCCCGAGACAGGGCCCGAACACCAGGCTCGGCTCGGGGGAGGGCTCGGAGAGCCCGGCGTTGCAATCACGCCAGGCGTGTTCGCCCAGTCTCGAGCCCCGGGCCCACCGCAGGCCGATTTGGCTCGAAAAGTGCCGCAGAGAGATGGGAGTCTGGGGTTCTGGTCGTGATTTTGTCGCGACGTTGTAGTTGTTCCGCATCGTCGGATCTCAGGGGAAGCGACGGGGATAGGTTCTGCGGGGCAGCGGCCGCGGAGAGGGCGGGGGGAACGGGGAGGGGCGTGGAGTGGGCGGGAAGAAGGCGGTGCGAAGGGGAGGGGGGGGGGCGGGAGGGGGGGCGAGGGCGGGAGGGAAGGAGGCAACAGGGAGCGTGGATCAACAAATACAGAGGAGGTGAGGCAAGGGAAGGGGCGAGGATGGGGAGGAACATTGCAGGAATCGTGGTGGAGGGTGGTGTGTGGGCCAAGAGCGCCCCAAGCCTTTGACGCTTCTGGTGAGGCTTTCCCGCGACCAAAAACGCGACGGCGTTGCGTGCCTGGGCGACCAGGCCTTACACACCCGAGCTGAGACAACCTGGCTTCAGATAGCGACGGACCACCGCCGCCCCATGCCACCCGCCACCCAGGCTGGGGGCACTGGAGCCCAGCCCGACCACCGTGCGGGGTACACGGTGCGAATACAGATTGGATCCAGGACCACCACCCCAAGCCCAAAGGCCACGTGGCACGCATCCACGAGCCTCCCCCGCCCATTCTGGGGGTCGGGGTGACCCGATTGCTGAACACTGGCGGGGACCGAACAGGAACCCTCCGTACTAGCGAGCAGCACCCACACCCGGAGGAGGAGGAGGAGGAGGAGGAGGAGGAGGAGGAGGAGGAGCAGGAGCAGGAGCAGGAGCAGGAGCAGGAGCAGGAGCAGGAGGAGCAGGAGGAGCAGGAGGAGCAGGAGGAGCAGGAGGAGGTGGAGCAGGAGGAGGAGGAGGCGGAGAAGGAGGAGCAGGAGGAGTAGGAGCATATGCGTTTGCCGGGCGCCGTCGCCTCCTGGCGAGGGAGATGGTGAATGCGACAAATAATTTACCAGGCCCAAATGGAGCGGTCGGTACGGTGCGCTGTGCAGACTCTCCGCCCCGATATTGTTTATCCTCCCAATGAACATGGAGGAGGAGGAGGAGGAGCAGCAGCAGGAGGAGAAGGAGGATGATGAGGAGGATGATGAGGAGGAGGAGGAGGAAGAGGAGGAGGAGGAGGGGGGGGCGATTATCTGACTAGTGTGCCACTCATCTTGTCAACGCCAGCCAGCAGCCAAGCCAGTGTCCAGGCTTTGAGGTCTGCTTGCCATTTGATGGCAAGGCCCAGCACCGTGGCCTGAGATTGGCGTGCCCACAGCTGCGACCGAGGAGGTGAACGAGGTCGGCCGGGATTGGGGCGAGGAGTGCGGCGAGGGCGAGGGGTAAATCGGGGGACGTGGCGCAATCGGGATGGATGGCCTGGGAGGGGGGGGGAAGCAGTGAGAATGCCAGGGCTGAGACAGGCCACCAACGGCAGGAGAGAGGCGGCAGAGGGATTTGGGAAAGGAATTGGAGGAGTGACCAAGGGAAGGATGCAGAGGATGATGGGCACTGCCAGCATGGATGAGGTCGGCAGCATGTGGAGTGGCGGAGGCAGGGAGCAGAGGGGGACCGCGCGGCGGCCGCGTCTGTGTCTCGTCCTCCCCTTCTGCTCGGCCATGCTCTCTTGCTGCGCGCAGTCGCCGCCGGCATGTACTGGTGCTGCCTATGGTCTCTCTCTTTCTCTCTCTCTCTCTTTCTTTCTCTTTCTTGCCTTATCCCTCTCTCTCTCTCTTTCTTTCTCTCTCTCTCTCACACTCTCTGTAGGTGCGTGTACAATAAGAAAATGCTGGCGCGCGCAGAAGACTACGTTGGTGCTTCGCGCCAGCTGCCTTGCTCCTGAACGTTTCGATGCACAAGGGCGAGGAGCGTGCAAACGAGCAGAACATGACATCCGCCGAGTGGCAGTGCACGGGTCTCGCAGACTTAGCAGCAACACGGAAGTTGAGCAAAGTCAATGATAAACAATACCGTTCAACGAACCACAGCGAGGCTCGGGTTCCTCCGATTTGCGGCTTGCACGTCTGGACGGGCGATCGGCCGTTCCTTTATCCTTACTTTCCCCCTCGCGTTCCACCTCCCCTCTCTCCTCCCTCCCCTCTATCCGCTTCCAGCCTCCCTGCTTTCCCAAGCGGTGCTTGCACTTGGGGGGGGGTCTTCTTTCGCTTGCCGCAGCAATCCGCTGGGCACTCCGGGGTCTCCACCACGCTGCCGCCTCGTGGCCGCCTCGTGGGCACCCCGTGCGCTGGGGGAGGGGGGGCGGCCGAGGCTTTTTGCCACGCTGCCGCCTCGTGGACGCCTCTTGGCCGCCTCGTGGGCGCCCCGTGCGCTGGGTGGGGGGTGCCCAGGCTGCGCCACGCTGCCGCCCTCTGCGGGCTCCGTGGGCCCCCCCGTGCTCTGAGCTTGCACGGCACAGCTTCCACCACATAGCTCACACCGTACGGCTTGCACCACACATTGTGCACCGCGCAGATTGCACCGCATGGCTTACCTCATAGCTTCCGCCTCCAGTTCACACCGTCTAGCTTACACGGCACAGCTTGCACCACAGAGCTTGCACCACATAGTTCTCACCTGCATAGCTCACATCACATTGCTTGCACAACATAGCTTTCACCACATAGCTCATACCGCATGGATTTCACATCCACACTGCAATCACGCACGGCTTGGGGTACACGCTGGCTAACATCTTCTTTTGTGTCTGGTTTCCCCTATGTCTTTTTGCTTATTTAAAGTTCCTCTTCCTCTTCCTCTTCTTCCTATGTTTATGTTTCCCTTCTGTCCGCCTCTGCCTCCTCGTATCCCTCCTTCCTCCCTCCTTTTTATCCTCCTCCTCCTTGTTTACCCCTCCTTCTTCGGGCTCTTGGGGGCTTCTGGGCGTCCTTTTCGGGGCCCTCGTGGGCCGTTCTCGGGACATTGAGGCTATCTCGGGGGCCTCGTGTGGTTGCTTCGGAAGCCGTTTGGATTGTGTTGGAGATCATGATTGGGGTGTCTCTTGCATCTTCGGAGGGCCTTCTGGAGCCCCTTGGTGGCCTTTTGTAGCCATCCTGGATCGTCCTGGCAGGCTCGTGGGAACTCTCTTTGGTTCGGGCTTTTTCGGGGCCAGCTTGAGCGAAAAAAGCAGGCGAAGCCAAACTCACATCTATTATATTCCCCGATCAGTGCGTGCACTGGATGGATCTTAGCGGAACCTGAAGGACTAAGTAAAAATCTCGGGCCGCTTTCGGTGGGCGCCCAGGTTTCTGTGCCTCTGTTCTGGGTTCAGGCTGATTTCGGTGAGCGGCAGGGTTACCGGGTTCCCAGGCTCGGGGTCCGGAGTTCCCCGCCTTGTATGTAGATGAATTTGTAGATAGGGGGGGGTGAAGAGTGCATATCATCTAGTGGAGCATAGTTCAGCAAAGAGAGAGAGAGAGAGAGCTTCCCCAAACAGAGCTTGCACTTAGTGATTCTTATTTTTTTTTTTGAAGTGGAAAGGGGGGGGTGGTCTGGCGGCTATGTGGCCGCCGTCGTCGCCCCGTCGCCGCCTCGTCGCCCCTCGCCGCCGCCCGTTGCCTGGGCCTGCGCGGCGGTCTGGCGGCTATGTGGCCGTCGTCGCCGCCCCGTCCCCGCCTCGTCGCCGCCCGTCGTCTGGGCATGCGTGGCGGTCTGGCAGTTACGTGGCCGCCGTCGCCACCCCGTCGCCGGCTCGTCGCCGCCCGCCGTCTGGGCCTGCGCGCCGGGTCCGCCGCCTTGTGGTCGCCGTCGCCGCCTCGTCGCATTGCGTTGCATCGCTTCGCATTGATTTGCATTGCTTTACACTGCTTTGCATTGCTTTGCATTGATTTGCGTTGTTTTGCGCCACCTAGATTGCACCACGTTGATTGCACCATCTAGATTGCATCGCATACGCAACAAATTATTGTGTGGTGTCCACGCTGGATAACATAGGTGAAACAGTTCAAGCAATTTCGAGTTGCGAGGGTGAATATATATGGAGAGAGAGGGAAGGGAAAAAAAAGAGAGAGAGAGAGAGGGAGAGAGGGTAAACACAAGGGAGAGAGGCAGACAGATAGAGCGAGAGGGAGACATACTGATAGAGAGAGAGTGTGTGTGTGTGTGTGTGCAGATGTGGAGTGCTCGCGAAAGTTTCTGGCAATTCTTTTCTGGGGAATTTTCGAAATGCTTCTGGAAGCCTCGTGGGCGATCCCTTCCAGCCCGTGGTGTTTTTTTTTTTGTTCGCGGGGGGCCCTGGGCATCGCCTGGGCGCCCTTGTGGTTTGCTTGCAAGGATCGGAGGGACGCCCAGGAGGTCCAGACGGCCTGGGGAACGAGAGAGGCGTTCAGGTCCTGCATTACACCCGACGGATACAAGAGAAGTCAGCGCAATGGGAAGGGATGGGTGGGTAGGACGGGCAGGATGTCAAATTAGGCGCGAGCGCGAGCACTCCGGTTGCACCCAGCGCGATGCGACGGTCCGGGGTGTGCCGAAATTCGGTGGTGGGGGGGCGGGGGACGATCTGTCCAGCGGTCCCCGCCCCGTAAGCATACACAAGAGCCCACGCCTCTGATTCTGCATGTAAGGCTTGCTCGCAGGGTCTCCGTCTCTTCCACGAACAACGGGCACACGCTCGGGGGCATCCAAGCGGTGTGGTGACCACACCGTGAGTCAATGGGGATTCGGGGTCACCACGCGGTTTGGGGGTTTAAGTCGTTCTGGGAGGACGTCTCGAGCGACCGGGGCCTCCGAGGTCCCAAGAACCTGCGGTGACGGACCTCGCGGTGAGGCCGTTGGGGATGCCGAGGTCACCACGCGGCCCGTTACATCACAGCCTTGGGGCCCTGAACACACACACACACACACTCACACACACAACCACACACACACAACCACACACACACAACCACACACACAACCACACACAGCCATGCATGCACGCGCGCGCACATCGTTGCGCTCTCCTGCGCGCGCACGCAACACGCGTGCACGCACCGACGCTCTTTCTCCCGCGAGGCGGAGCAGCACAGCGAGGCCGCCGCCGCCGGCGAGGGCGCGGCCGCGGCAGCGACCGAGGCCGCTCACGGGGCCCAGGGGGGAGGGGGGGGGGGACGGGGCAGGACAGCCGAGGCAGAGGGGAGCGGGAGGCATGGGGGGGGGGGCCCAGGGACGGGGCCTTCGACCCTCCTCGGGGTCAGGCGCAGGTTTTGATCCAACCCCCTCGCCCCCCGCCTGTCGGCGCGGAGTGGCGCGCGCAGCGAGGGCCCGCGGGGTGCAACAACAAGAATGCAGTCGCTAGCTTCGGCGTGAAAGTCGAAGCTGGGTTCTCCGAGGGCGCCGCCGCGTCGGAAAAACTTGCGCTCGATCCCGATGAGGGATAGGACCCCCTGGAGTATGCCAGCCTGCCAAAGGACCTGCTGTGCTGAGCCTTCCCTGTCCTCCTCCCGCTCCTGCTGCTTCTCCGATCCTTACTTGGTCCTGAGTACTCTGTGTTTCTCAAAAAGCGTGGGGGGGCACCCCGACGGGGGTCAACCTCGCCTCGTCGTCGCGCCGCGACGGGGGTCGGAGCGCCTTCGGCGCGAGGTGGCTGCCCGCGACGGGGGTTGATGTGGGGCTGTCGGCGGGGGTGACGCCCCCCCGACGCTTGTTAAGAAACTCGGAGTAGTTGTTGGTGTCTACTCCTACTGGGCCACCCTGCCAGCAGATAGCAACCACATCTGGGGCGTTCCGTCCCACCCGCCAACATATACACAATGCTCACGTCATCCTTTTTTACATGGGCGTGACGTCTCGCTTCGGCCTACAGGGTTCTCCCTTCTCCTCCCTCTCCTCTTCGTTCGTCCTCCTCCCCCCTCTCCTCCCTCTCCTTTTCGTTCGTTCTCCTTTTTCCTCCCTCTCCTCTTCGTTAGTTCTCCCTTTTCCTCCCTCTCCGTTTCGTTCGTTCTCCCTTTTCTTCCCTCTCCTGTTCGTTCGTGTTACCTTTTCCTCCCTCTCCTCTTCTGTCGCCCTCATCCCCGCTCCCTCCTCTCGCAATTGCATTGTTGATTTGTTCAGGCTGCGGCTCATTGCGTGAGTTTGCCTGCTGCAGGTTGGCTTTTGTGGTGTTCCCAGTTAGCCTGGCGACCTTTTGATTCGCAATGTGGTCATGTCGCCCGTGGTGAATGGCATGGAGAAGCATGCACGCGCGGTGCGGTGTTCCCGGTTCGCCAGGCGACCTTTTGATTCGCAGGGTGGCTCTGTCGCCCGTGGCGCTCGGCATGCAGAAGCATGCGCGCGCGGTGGGATTTGGACGGGGCGCACCTCGCGCGCCAAAGAGGGCGACCCGTCGCTCTCGCCCCGGCGGCCGCGCTCGCTTCTCCCGAGAGCTGCGCTGCTGCCTCGGCGCGGGCGCACCTCTTTCGCCCGCCAGTTCATCGACGCGCGAGCGGACGTTTTCTGTTGAACTCGCACTACTGAAGAATAATTGTTGTTGATCCCCCCCTCCGGTGCACAGTGTATTTTTCAATTGAAATGCCCCTCCCGGCGCCCGTACCTTGTTTTTTATCAGGGAAAGTCTTCCTCCCCAAATTGTGCCCCTGGCCCCCGGGCTGACAAAGGCTCCCGCTTTAGACTTCCTCGAGAGTTGGTCTGGTCCCCCGCTCCCGCTTGAGACTGTCTCACAATTTACTCAAGAATCGCGCTCCCGCCTGAGACTTCTTCGCAATTTACTCAGGCGCCGCGCTCTTGCCATTCAGGAATCGAGCGTTCGCTGGGGACTTCTTCAAATTTACTTAGGAGTCGCTCTCTCGCTGGAAACTTCCTGGCGAATCACGCAGAACTCACGAAGAAATACATACCCACCAAAGTGGTATGAACGAAGACGAAGAGTGCGGGTATCGAGGCTTCGGGAAATGCACGCTGAATGACACTCGAGCAGATAAGAGCGAACAGTATTAAAATGATTGTTGTTGCTGTTGTTGATGATGTTGTTGCTGATTGTTAATTACTTAACAGTTATTACTGTTGGACCCCCCAGGCGCTCTGGCGCTCTCGCCTCGGCGCCAGCTAGATTTTCATTGAAAATGAGGCTCACGCTCGAGTGACCGGCCCCCCAACAACAACAACAACAACAACAACAACAACAACAACAACAACAACAACAACAACAATCATCTTAAGACTGATCGCTCTTATATGCGCGCGCGTCACTCAATATGTAATTCCCAAACCCTCGATACCCACCCTCTTCGTCTTCGGTCATGCCCCTTTGGGGGTATATCTTTTTTACTCGCCACGTGTAGTTGGCGCAGCCCCTAAAACAGGAAGAGCAGGGGGAAGGAGGAAGGGAGAGCGAGGAGGAAAAGAGTGGGGGGAGGGAGGGAGGAGGGAAGGGGCAAGGGGGGGAGGATGGATGGAGGACGAAAGAGGTTAGCAGGAGGGGAGGGGGGCAAAAGAGGAGGTAAACAAACGGACGAACCAGACAGACGGGTCGAGCGGCGGACTCTGAGGGGCGGGTCGGGCTGGCGGGGCGGGCGGACACCAACGGACGGGTCGGGCGGCGGACCCTCGCTGGCGGGTCGGGCGGGCGGTGGCTTAAAGCGGGCGGGCGAGATGCCAAGAGAGCGAACGGGCGGGCTGTAACAGGCGGATCGGCGGGCGAAACCTGGCGGGCGGGTGACTAAAGGGTGAATCCTGAATGAATCACGAGGCACAACCTCGATACCCGCCCTCTTAGTATTCGAACGTACCCCCTTTAGGGGGATTATTTCTCTTTGGAAGGGCGGGCGGAGGGACGAGGGAGGAGGGAAGGGAGCAGGGAGGGACGAGGGAGGAGGGAAGATGCTAGGAGGGACGGGACGCGGAGGGGGGAGGACGATTTAGAGGGAGAGAGAGAGAGAGAGAGAGGGAGAGAAAGAGAGAGGGGGGAGGAAGGGAGGGAGGAGGGAGTTTGGAGGAGGGACGAGGAAGGAGAGAGGAGAAGCAGGAGGGAGGAGGGAGGAGGCAGGAGAGGGGAGGGAGGAGGCAGACGGGAGGACGGAGGAGGGAGGCAGGAGAGGGGAGGGAGAAGGGAGGAGGAGGGAGGGAGGGAGGAGGGGAGGGAGGAGGGAGGAGGGAGGAGGGAGGAGGGAGGAGGGAGGGAGGTGGGAGGCCGACCCGGGGAGGCCGCCCGGGGACCGGCCGTGGGAGGTCCCAGGCGGGAGCGCCGCTCCCGGAGTAATTTGCGAGGAAGTCTCAGGCGGGAGCGCCTCCGCCTGAGTAAACTGCGAGGAAGTCCCAGGCGGGGGCGGGGGTCCTGAGTAAATTTGGAGGAAGTATCAAGCGGGAGCCGTTGTTGTTGTTGTCCGGGGGGCCAACAACGCAGTTTGATGCCCACGACTTTCCCTGATAAAAAACAAGGTGCGAGCCCCGGAAGGGGCACTTTAATTGAAAAAAACAATGTCCGCCGGAGGGGGGGGATCAACAATAATTATTTTTCAGTAATTAGAGTTCAACAACAACAACAACAACAACAACAACAACAACAACAACAACAACAACAACAACAACAACAACAACAACAACAACAACAATCATTTTACCCGAACGCTCAGTGTTCTCCCCAGTGCCAGGGTTTTCTTGCGACACCAGCCAATACCCCCACTTCGTGGGGGGGCCGTTCAAGCTCTACCAAATATCCAAACGACTCTTCGAGACCACCCACACCCAGCTTCCCGCCCTATGACGTTGGGACACTTCACTTCGTGGCGTGCGGACGACCCTGGCTACTACACTGGCGTGGGGTACACACACCACAGAGGTCCTTCTTGAAGTACGCGTGAAGGTCTTTCGCCGTCAAAGCCATACTGCTCGTGAAGGTCTTTCGCCGTCAAAGCCATGATCCAAGAACACAGGCGATACCTTGATCCGAGATGGCTACGGATATGTGCGTCAGCAGTCGGGGGCCTTCCTGGGGCCGCTTGGGGTCCTCTTGGGGAAGGGGGGAAGCCTCCTGGCGCGGTTTGGGGTCCACTTGAGAGCCTTTGGGGGGCTCCTTGGAACCATCTTGGGGCCTCTTGGGGGCTTATTGGACCCTCACGGCGGACTCTTGGGGCCTCTAGAACGCCTCCTGGGGCCATCTTGGGGGTCTCTTGGAGCCACCTTGGAGCCTCTCTGGAACCTCTTGGGGGCCTCTTGGAGTCCTCTTGAAGCCTCTTGGGACCATCTTGGGCGCCTCTTTGGGCCTCATGGACGCCTCTTGGGGCCATCTTGCGCGCCTGTTGGGGCCATCTTGGGTTTTAAAGATTCATCAAGAGACCGCGAATGGATTTCGAGATTTTTCGGATGAGAAAGTAGTGCGTTTTCATATGTTTTCTGAACATCGCATCTTGAAATTATTGAAAACCCATTGTGTTTGGCAGGATTTCGACATGCGCGCGCGGCGGCCGCGCGCATGTGCACTTCGTCTCATTTTTTGCAAGGGATGGTGGCCCTCGCAGGCGCGCAACCGTTGTTGGAGAAGTTCAAAGCACCTGAAGAAGTAGCACGCAAAGACCCTTTTGACAGAAATGTTTAAAAAGTGGTGTGTTTCCTATGAATCCGCAAGAGCGCGCGGAAGGACATTTTGACAATTTTTTCTTAAAAAACCATTGGGTTTTTGATGTTTTTATGTTAAAATCGTTACGAAACCTAAGGTTTTGGAAGGATTTCGTCTTGCGAGCGCGAATGTCCACTTTACCTTATTTTTTGCAAGGGATTCTTGAAATTTGATCAACTTGTTTTTTTGATCAAGGGTTTTTTGCAAGGGAAAACGAGCGTCAACAAAAAACCGGATCCGGAGCTCATCCACTTTTCTGAAGCTTTCGCGAAAAAATGATGAAAATGTAGCTGCGGCCTAGGCGCGGCGCAGAGGTCGCGCACCAGGGGTCCCAACAATAATAATTCTTTAGAAGGAATAATGTTCAACAACAACAACAACAACAACAACAACAACAACAACAACAACAATTACTAGCACGGGACACTCACCGTTCTCACCAGTGCCAGGGTTTTCATAGGAGGCGGGCAATACCCCCACTTTGTGGGGGGGCCGGTTCAAGCTCTACCAAATTTCCAAACGA